ACCCTAATTTTAATTGCTTCGTTTTAGCATCCTTCCAAATAAGGAAATTTGAAAAATGGGTCGGTAATATTGATCCCGCATGGCTGAGACTTAACGTTAACGCATATGTAACGGTAATAATTATGTACTCTAATACGTACGTACTTACACATATATTATTACTAATTATTCCCTACGTATAATGAATTGGAAAGCAAATTTTAAACTTAAGTTTTTGCTTATGTCACAATTCTTTACTTATTAATTATTGTCTTGGATGATGCTGAAACTTGGGATCTCGATTTAAAATAATTACCCATCTCTAATATGTAAAATTTGTAAACTCCGCAGATATTACCGAAAATTTTAATTTAATCTCAATAGGCCCATTTTGAATAACGACCGGTATTAAAAATTTAATTACAGAATTCTGACGGTTAAAAAATAAGAGTAAAAAATGCATTCAAAAAATTTTTGTTTATCAAAAAAAAAATTTTATGCGAAATTCATTAATATGATTTATTTATAGAAATATTTAAGCGACTTTTATTTCCTGATACCTTTTTTTTTAAAAAAACAAGATGTATTTAACACGATCATTTATCTAGGCAATAAAGTGTATTTTTACTTCGTCCATTTCATATTTTCAATTTCTTAATATCATCCATCATTTTTGAATCAATATAAAGTTTGAATTAATAACACCGTAGGGCGCTGCATTCAGTATAAATCAAAAACACCCCAATTAACTTGATTTATACCAGGAGGATACTGAGTGAAGAGGAGGGTACAATTCAAGGGGTTGATTTTAAGGCAGAGGTTCATTTTTATTGGACGTTATTAGTTTTGCAAGATTAATTTATACCAGGGTATAAATCAAAATTTTTTTCGGGATGGTATTGAAATATACCCGGGCCTAATCCTAGGGGTACTATTCTAGGGGGTATTGAATGCAGCGCTCTATGGTAATTTCTAACACAATTTCGGAGTTTTTAGTATCTATTTCATCCACTTCAGCTATATATTATATTTAGAAATAGTTGAATTCATTTCAATTGGTATTAATGTACAAATTATCTCCCACTTGGTTTGTTGAATCTAATTATTAGAAATTTAATTTTTAGTAAATTAATAAATATAAAATCTTATAATAAATAAATACACCTTTCGAAAAAATAAAACATCTATTTTTCCATGAGGATTAATAATAATAAAAAAATCTGTTTATTAAATAAGAACAAAAGAATATATATTGCTTATTAGCTATTGAATATTTTTCTGTTTTTGATAATACGTGTAGTAAAACTTTATTTTTTTACATTTCACTCCTCATCTTGCTTTCTATGCTACCCTGCTTTAATTTACTCGATTTAAGCGTTGAATAGTCCTTTTATTGGTTCTGGGTTAACTTCCCGAAGTCCATTTTTCTGAAACACTGAAATCCATTTTACTAACAGGACATAATTGGATCCGTGTCATTTCACCGACAAACAATTCACCGAGAAGTTTATTTCACCGACAAATTGTTTTATAAACTAACAATGACCGGAGTCGGTGAAATAAATTATCTGTGAAATAAACCAATCGGTGAAATAAACTGTCGATGAACTAAGTTGTGGGAAATGGATCTTGTCGGAAAAAAGGGACGGGAAGGTGAGCTTGAGTAACAAGGCTTTTATTAACTTCAAATAAATTGGTTGGTTTTTGATGTACAGTAGAACAACGTTTTGATACTTAGATACGTAAAAACAATCTTTTTTTTTCAGATTGTCATGTCAATCGAATCAGCAATATTATTCAATGCCTTACGATTAACAGCTTATACAGGTTTTGTAAACCAAGTTCGTACAAACAGACAGTCAAATTCATACAAGCAGAAAGTCAAATTCGTACAAGCAGACAGTCAAATTCGTACAAGCAGACAGTCAAATTTGTACAAGCAGAC